TTGTTAAAAATAAGAAGACTAAAAAGTCTTACAACAAGACTTAAGACTAGAAAGGCATTGACAAGATTGAAAAAGGCTTCACTCATGTCTCTATATATACTATTTAACTAGGAGCTACATAACAATATTTTGTAGGGCATCCAATATGAATTGACTTTACAAAGCATATATCTTAACTTGCAAGGCAATTTTTTTATATATGCATTATATAGTTAGCTTGTTTGACGAGCTACAAACACCTGTAATATGTACTTAACTTGTTGACCAAGTTTCTAACCTACCAATCAACTACAAACATGTGTAAAGTCAAAAGTGTATCTATGAAGCTTTTAGAAAGCTTTTTTAGAAGATATTATGAAATGAATCTATTTTTATCTACTTCTATCTAATCAAATAAGGAATTATTGGAATAAATACTTATGTATATGATAGTAAGTCTTATCAAAAAAAAAATTATCTTTATAATCAAATTATTTATTTTCTTATATTCTATAAAAATAATATTATAAAGATAAACAATATAATTTTTTTCCATAAGCTTTTATAAGAGAATCTAAAAAATCTTAAAAAAAAGAAATCACATCAAATTATTTTAAATGTAATTGCTAAAATATTATTGGTACGTAAAATTTATTAATCTATAACCAATGATAGAATCTAATACATTATTTTTAATTGCATAGTTGCCTATTTAGAATTACAAAAATAATTTAAAGATTAACATGCAATATGTGTTTTAATTTTTTTTTTAAAGTTATTATATCAGTTGTAGTACTTAAGTAAATGAATTCTAATGTAAATAAATAGAATTTTAAAAAATAAAAAGATAAAAATTCTTTAATTGATAATATTCTTATTGTTAAATATTGTATTAAATTCTTGGATATGGAATGGTCTAAAATTGATATATACACCATGTACAATAACAAGATTTGTTCTATATATTTTTAATAATAATTTGAATAATTAAGAAAATATGTATACATAATTTTTTTATTAGACTAACATTTAGATTATAACGTTATTTTGTAAAAAAAATATGATTTGTGTATTAAACTCTTTCAAATAATTTTAAGTTTTATAAATGTTTGTAACAGATAATAGATTTATTTACTACAGGTTTATCTTTGAAAACTTATCTCTAATATGTTATCAACTCGAACAATTTTTTTGATGTATTTATCATTTGGTTTCTTGTATTAAACTACATTATGTCAATTAATTCTTTACTAGAATGTTAATATTTTTTCTTAAGTAACTAAGTCATATATATATATATATATATATATATATAAATATATATTTCATTTATGGATTTAATTTTTCTTATTTGATGTTTTTTTTATGGCTTCCAAATAATTAATCTTCTTGATATAACTCTTTTATTCTTTTATGATTTAATAAGGAGATCAAATCCTAATACTTCTCAAAAACTTTAATATATAATATAATGAATTAATCCCTATTTTTAATCAATGATAATGAAATAATTCTTCTGCCTTACTAATTCTTGATAATTGCTGCATTTATTACGATATAATTTCCAACCAATACTTCTAAGTAATACTTTATTAGAGATTCTACATTAACAAAGATAAAATAAATGAATAAATAAATAAAATACATATTTGTATGTCTTAATTTATTTATATATTAAAAGTCTATTGCGTTTCAATAATATCATTTTTTTTTATATTTGTATCATTATTTCATAATTTTTTGATTAAATTATATAGTCCAATCAACATAGAACTTGATTACGTAACATGTTCTGTTTTTTAGATTGTCAACTTATTCAAGCCTTAGTTGGGGCCATGGTAAGATCTTGCTTAAAATATAGTTTGAACTATGGTTTAAGGTGACCATATAATAGTACTAAAAAATTAATAATCAAATATGATTCTATATATTATATTTGGTGCTTACAATAAAATATTAATTTTTTTAAAATTTATAAATTTTCCATAAAAATTAAAAAGTTTTAAAAAAGTAATTTTAAAATTATATATATATATATATATATATATATATATACATACATACATACATACATACATACACACACACACACACACACATATATATATATATATATATATATATATATACATGTTCTTGTAACATTAAGATAATATAGATATTTAAAAATTATTTACTAAAAATATTTTTTCAATATTAAAATTAAAAAATTAACCTTATACAAGTTTTATATTCATATATGGTTAGCTATAGTTATTTAAAGAATAAATTAATAACTGTGTCTGGAATAGATACAAGGTTTCTGAAAATAAAATTTGTATGATTTGTAAAATGTTTTAAATTAAGATTATAAAATCAATAAATTGTAATGACAAGTATAAAAAATAAGGTCATCAATTATATTGCAATAAAAAAGCATCCATTTGTAATTCATAATCAGAATAATTAAAAACCATGTTAAATAAAATACTTTATTAATACTTCAGCCATGTAAAATATAGGTCCAAATCTTGTTATTCATGTAAGCCATCATCATCAGAATAATAATAATAATAATAATATATTTTTTTTAGTATAAATAATTAGATTATTTATCTTATACTTTTAAATTATGTTGAAATAGTTAAAATTTAGATAATTTTTAAGTCTTAGGTTTCTTGTATCATTAGATTTTTTTTTTTTTTTTTTTTTTTTTTGGGAAAATTACAGCATGTTTTTTTATCAAAGTTGAACCTCTGTCTCAAAGTATTTTTACAATTCATTTGAAATTTTCTCCATACCTTTTGTAATGAATTTTATGTCGAATTCTCTTGTAAATGTCTTTTCAAAATCTTCACTTATGTTTCATTTCTTTAATTTTTTCAGGTTGTCCAATACTCTTTTTATTTTCGAAATCATAAAAATTTCTTGTGATAAAATAAAATATTAAACTTCTTAACTTTTAACTTAGCACCATAGTATATTCCACATAACACTATTAGAATAATTTTACAACAATGAACTAGTAAATAAGTAAAAAGATCAACTTGGCATTTGTGCCTATTAACTTGTTTACAAGAATTTTGCATGTTTACAAGAATAAGATGCATAGGGATCAAAAGAACTAGAGATTTTATTCGATTTTTTTTTAAATATTAAAAAATTTAACCACTACCCATAAGGGATATATGCATCATGATTGGTCTTAAAATATTTATTTAAAAATATTCAAAGTTTTAAACTTTAATTTTTAATTATTAATTTTTTTATCATCTTGTTAGGAACAAAATCATTCTATTTGAAATCATATTACACATATAAAATCTTTCAAAAATCATATTATGTAAAAAGTATATAGTGTTTAACTAAATATTTTATTTAAATTTTTTGTGAAGAACCTATTAAAAAATAAACTAAATTTTGGCAAGACATTAACATGTATTAACAAGATATTAACAAGATATTAACAAGACTTATTGCACACATGACATTGATTACAAATGGGGGTTCTAATTCATGAGGCATAATCTTATTCAAGGAAGATTGTTGCTTACACCATTAATAAGATTCAATAGCAACTTTTACATTATAAATTATTGAGTATGGTATGCAACAGTAGCATTGTTGGAATTATTTTCTAACATATTATGAAATTTTAATTGCATCAATATCGATAGCATGATACAATTAATATTTATGTGTTGGTTGTAATTTAACCTAAAAGTAATTGTAGTAATTGACAATAGCCATTAGATAAAAGAACTTAATGCAAGTTCAGTAGTAATTATGAGGCAAGAGAATGACATTAATTATTTGGATAATCATGGAAATTCACAAATTCTTAGTGCTTCATGTGCACTCTTAGATATCTCTATCATATGCCCATCTACTCTAGATAAATAGTGATAGTGATTAGTATCAGTTTTTGCGGTTTAGTACTAGTTTTGACTTGCAATTGAGAAGGTATTATTGTGTTTAAGATGGTAGCAAAGGAGTGTTTAATTGCAGAAGATAACCAGCAATCAATCGTCTCCCTATACCACCAACAGAAAGTTGGCACTGTGTTCTACTCTGTGTGCAGTAATGGCTTTTTTTTGGATTTCACAAGTTGATTGCAAGTACCCACTAATTAATAATTGCATTGAAGTGGTGTACAGAAAGCATTAGGAATCAAAGGCAAACACAAGATGGCAACGACTAGGAGGCCATGGAGTCAATCACGCAACTGTTTAACAATCAATCACGTAGATACTGGAATAGAAAAATCACATAACTTCCGTAATCCACAACACATGGTACAAGATTTTGAAATGCAACCAAAGTTGTAGCAACCACGCCATACGTGTTGTTACGCTTGGAAGAAATATCAGACACAAGAAATCCATCAACAATAGGATCACGAGGTCAGTGGTCAGCAGTGGCTTGGATGCGAATCAAATGGCCTGCATGGTAAAGACAAAGACGGAGGCAAGACAGAGAAGATGTGTGAATAACTGGGCTGCACAAAACCAAGTACAGCACAAACTCAAAGATGAGAAGGGTAGGAGGAGAAGGCCGCATAGGCATGAAAGACTGCCCAGACCAGACACAGCACTAACTCAGAAAGACGGGAAGGCCGCGAAGGCAAGTAGGCAGCAAAGACAATCTAGAATGAAAGGCACAACACCACACAAATAAGAAAGCAAGTACAGCACACACCGCGAGCGCTGCATAGGTGAGGAGCCAAAGAAAAGAGCGTTTAAGTTCACAACTCACCAAAGCCAAGAACGATGAGACCGCTAAGGCAATCCCAATTGAAAGTAGCAGAACACATTTTTATCAATACATTATCCAGGCAAAGCAAAATGACAAGAACCAAAGCAACCACAAACAAACCTTGGCAAGGTCATTACAAAGAGGAACCCCGCCAAATCAAGATGGAGCGCAATGGAGCAGAGCAAATCGGCACCTGGAGGTCTGAACACAAATGGCGAAAGTAGGATCAAATTGAAATATTATTGCAAGACCCATGATAGATTTTTAACCGCATTTAACGCCCACTTGAATGCAAGTTTAAAAAGTGAATTGCTGCACATCATAAAAAACCACCCACAAAGTAAAGTTACTTATATGGAGCACAGTTTGAGAGGATGACATCCCATAGATTGAGACAACTGAGTCTTCCAAGTAGGTTTTTACAGGTTCGCACTGATTCTCAGAACAATCCTCCCCTACCTGGAAATTGTATCACATTTATTCACTCTGAATCTCCAGAACTACTCTTCATTTAGCTCTGTCTCAACCAAAACTGCACTAACCATATCGTACACCATCAGCATAGATTGTCTCACGCTTTCTACAAATCCTCAAGTACATTAGCAACGAGTCACATCTTAGACAGCTTGCATAAGCAATGAGTTCAGGCACGATTGGCATGGCGGCCACCATGCTTCCGATAGCTCAACTAGGTCGACGATGTAGAAACCTCATTCCTCTACTGCCGCAAATGCTACCTTTCCTGAAAAAGAAAAATGCTAAGATGAAAACTATCTCCACCATCTGCCACTTTTTTCAACTTGAAGTACATTTTCACAGATGAGAATTAATAGATACAAATGTTGAAACTCTCCATGAACTTCTTCATAGAGTTGCCTGGGGGTCTACACCGTGAACTCGAATTCGGTAGATGCAAGTGTGCAGAGGACTTCCGTGATTGGACAATACTTGAAGTCGGACCATATTTATCGGTTCGTCACCAACATCATCTTTGGAAAGCTGAAACGTCTGAACATTGCTAGGACCATCTGAGTTGTAGATGAATTGCCCCAGCAACTTGTGTTCTGGTGAAGGTTGAGCAATTCCATCAGTTGGTCGCATTTCTCGCCAACCATACAGTTGAAACTCTTTAGGTGCGCTCGACAAATCATAAGCAACACTCTGTCGTACACATAGTCATTGTCAGTATGTGAAAAGCCAACTCCACGATTTTACTTAAAAAGTAAACCAGCAGATAATTGTTGAAATATTAAATGACTACAATGACGTCAGAACTCATGCATTAGAGGAAGCCTCAGTAATAATGCACTCCGGCACTGATTGATATTTCCGCATCATGTTCAACCCACGGGTAAGACTTAAATAGATCACAATATACATGACCCCACAGTGACGAAATAAAGTCTGGTTACTGTCAACATACTTGGCTTCATTGTGATAGAAAGTAGGGGAGACAGGGGATTGATATATTACCTTAGCCACATGCTCAAGAGTAACGGCATCAGGACGAATGGCTGTCCGAAGAGAAATCTCCAAAAAGACGTTACTTCCCCTCAGAGGCAGGCATTCTCCTGGTTGACCAAAACTGGGTTGAAGTACCTTCTGCGCTAGTGGATGCTTCCTCGTACCACCTGGAACGATGTGACCAAACATCAAGCTGGACCACTGCTGACCTCGCCCTAGAAACACTCCCTCGGAATGATCCACAACCCGTCCACCCCCACTAGCCAGAGCGTAATCCGTACGCCCGATACCATCGGCAGCATGCTTTTCAAGCTCACTCATAACTATTTTCCGTGCAACTGATCGGACGTCTTCAAGACTAAACGATTTGCTGGTACTCTCGGAGGCGCGCTGTTCCACAACATTCTTAACAAGCTCCATGACTTCATGACGATTCAACGGAACTCCACTCTCATAAAGCTGGTCAACTTGAGCCCTCAGACCCCTTACTCCAGATGCGACTTCCGCCACTTGAGTATCAAGCTTCTGCGCAAATTCGTTCCGTACTTCATTTGTTTCTTTCTCGATCTTCATATCAAGAACCTCCAGTTGTACCTGCAAGTATGTGAAAGACATGAAACTGAATATCAAATATCCGCCCTAATTTCAGCAGAACAATATCGAAACCATCAGCTAGATAACATTACAACTACATACATTAAATTGGAACGAAATGTCGAATCAAACTGTGAAAAAATCATGAGAAATTAAATAACTCCCCGTATCAACATGTAAGATTCTACAATGCTTCAACAGTTTGAGCACAGTGATATTAAACCTTGGAGGTAGCCAAAATGGCTTCAATTTGAGTGTATAGATTCCAATTCAGGGAAAAATTAAATTCCTTCTTTAAAAACGCACACTGAGAGTAAAGACTAACCTGCATCCATTTCGTTGTCTTGGTCACAAAATCCTCCAATTTCTCAACTTCAATAGAGGAGACATCCCGCTGCAGCACTGCTGGCTTGGAAGTAAAATGCGAGTATGTTCCCCATAGCCCAAAGATAATGAGGATGAACAAAAAAGGTAGGGAAATCAAATGTCCCATCGCATCCCATATCGTATTTTTCTCTTCCGTAACCTTCGAATGCGCCATCCTCGTTGTCCTATGTTTCGGGGGCGATGCCTTGCCAGCTGCAACATCAGCCGTATGCGAAGACATCTTTTTCGTCGGTGTCGCGGCAGGAGTAACATATTCATGATGCACAGCAGCAGGTCCATCCTCCTCCGCAATAGTCTGATCCCTCGAGAATGCATACTCTTCCAACGCCGTTTTCTGCTCTCGACCTCGCCTTGCCCGAGTCCCAGCTGTTGCATTTGCGGTGGCCAAAAGAGGCGCTTCGGCGCCCTCTGGCGTGCCTTTCGACAACGTGGTCCTCCTTCGGGGCTTGGCGATGACTCTTTCAGGCGCCACACCACCGGTAAGTGCAGTGCCGGTGGCAGTTGATGGGGCTGTTGCAGCAGACATTTTGGGCCCTGATACTCTCGACACAACCCTCTCAATGTTCTCTCCAAATCTTCAAATATGGTTCGGCAAAAGATTGACGACCTCAACCACAACAAAACGTGAGGAAAAGATGAATAACTCAACTATGTCCGAAAATGCTCACTACCTATTTTGATTCATTTCAGAGGCTCTAACCACTCAACATCTCCCCAGCGCACTCGATCGCCTCCCATAGCATACAACCACAAACAAAACCGCCACAGCTACACAAAACAACCGATTCTTCCAATTTAGGAGGTCATCCGCAGCAGCAGCACGCTGAGATATTAAGTCACGATAGTTATTAGCCACGATAAACCAAAACCAATCAAATGCAATCAATCCGCGTCAAAAAACTCCTCTAAACGGCACCACATCATCATGTAGCCTGTGTGTTGAATCCGGTAATACCACCTCCGAGCTCACACACGAAACCCTAAAGCCATACCCCGCAGCGTCACACAAAACCTCCACCCACCTCCTACACCTCCGTCACGCTCGCCCAAACTATCTCCCTCCAAATCCCGCGCGCACAAAACGATATTAAACTCAAATTCCACCAATCAACCCCGACCTCCAGTTCTTTGAATTCACCGCCAACTTACGTCCCTTCCTCATCCGTAGCCAAACATAAAAACACGCCAAATCGTCGGAGCAAACACGAATAAAAACCCGTGCGCACCACTTGTCGGGGACAAGCGAAGCGACGGAGCACGGCGAAGTTTGTTCACAGGGTTTGTTTGGATCGGCGATGAGTCCCGCGACAAGCAAGGCTCTCGAGGGAGGGACGGACGGAGACGACGAACTACCGACGAACGAACGAAATTCACGGATAGACCGACGGAGCCGGCGATAAAGACGACGAGTATGAAGCTCATGACGTGGCTAGTACCGTTGGAATCCGATGGGGTTTGAAGCACGCGACTTTTCACACCTGGCTAAACCTCTGTCCCAGTTCGGGCTTGGATTACGTTTGTGGATGAACAGTTCGTCTGGAACAGGGCTTCTTCATTCATCCATACATCCATCGTTTTACGTCCATGTGCTTTATTATTGACTACTCTTTTTCTCTTGTCCCACGTTTTTCTTATTGAAGGTGTGTGTGTGTGTTTTTTTTTTTTTTTTTTTTTTTTTTCACAATGATTAGGTTTGGTGGATTCATTTAGTATGAATTTGGGTTTATTTAAAATTCCCCTCAATTAATTCCAAGTTCTCTCTTGTTTATCTTTTTTCAATGCATTCTAACTTGATGCTCATCTTTCATTCATTTGCATACCAGATGTAAGTGTTCCACCACAAAGTAGCAACATGCTATTGTTATTATGTAGCAATCTAACGATCTTGAATCTAAGTACCTAGTGTTGTTTGTTTTAATAATTAATACTTTTTGTTGTCGACAACAGATGGTATTAGGTATGGGGGAAAATAACTGTATTAACATTACATTTACTGAGCAGTAATTGGATCACATCGTTTGATCGAGAGCGTCCAATCTGTAATTTCATCCGAGGGACACACGTGCACGTGCCACGGTGGCCATCAGGAACTGAGATTGGGAGCTGATTGGGAAAGACGGCAGGGGTTACGATTGGGCAGGACCCCTCCTGTGCTTCCACGGAGGTTCCACCTCATCGCACATGTGGCCTAGGAGACGAAATTAGGGCTTGGAGCTCAGTCTCTGTTGTTCCTTTGTATCAGTTTTGTTGTCGTTTTTGTTGTTTTTGTTTTCCTCTTGAGGAGGACTCATTGCTCTGCGGGAAGGGCTACCAGAATTGCATCATGGGGACACTGGGCAGAGTGGTGTTCTCGCTGGGCAAGGCTGCCCGCTCTACCGGCCAAGCCCTCGATCGACTTGGCTCCCGCTTGCAAGGCGGCTACGTGTTCAAAGACGAAGGTAAAGCTTCGGGTAGCTCCTACTGTGGGTTGGAGATTGGAATTGCTAGAGTGAGAGGCGTTTGTTTTAACACATTTTTCTCGTTGGGTTCGAATCTGTTCATATTAACGCATGATCCTGTTTCCTTTTTCGATTTCGCAAAGATTGGGTGAGGGCTGATGTGTACCAGGCGGGGAGCGAATTTCGTGGGGAGTCCAGTTTACCTTTTTTTTTTTTTGAATTCTGGATTTTCGTTTGAATTAGGTTACTAGTTTCTGAAAGTGGTTTCAGTTCAGAACTCCGACTCGAAGTACATCGAAGTTGATCTATACGTTCTGCAATGCATTTATTTTGCTCCAATTATGATCTGCAGTTTCCAAGCATCAAACTATATTGGGCATATTTAACAAGAAGCCTGTCATTGAGGAGTCTGCATTTGTGGCTCCCGGTGCTTCTGTTGTTGGAGAAGTGCAAATTGGGGAGAATTCTTCAATCTGGTACGGGTGCGTTCTACGAGGTAAGGCGCATATTCGTCCAGTCTCTATACTTTTCCAAACCTATTCTTCATGTACTCGATAAACCCATTTTCTGTCATGTCGTTCATCTCAGTACCAGCGTCTCTGTGCTATAATACCCCTGGTATTTACAATGTGCATATTCCTCGAATGATGATTTTAGTTGGAATATTCAGATCTCAAAATTAAAACTGCAAACCGTATGTGAACTTAATTTGACGTGATTGAGCTGGTAGCGGATCTAAACGATCACTTCAAACTGCTTTCGAATTAGACTCAGTATATTTCTACAGTCTAGAATTCATCCCACTTTAACTTTTCAATGTCCGATCCCTCCAGTCGGGCATCTGGTAGTCTAGATGCAACATAATTCTGATTTCATTGTTTGAAGTAATCAGTACATTTGCCGCGTAGAGCTCTATTTCAAGAAGAGGACAGTAGGATGATGAAGGTTTTTAATTAAACGGGGACGAAGATGGGCACCGTATTGCAATTCCAGGGTCCAGTTTTGATGTCTTCTTGCGTGTCAGCTTTTCGCGCCTTATTCTCATATGGAGATGTGACCGCGTGGCAGGTGATGTTCATCAGATCAAAGTGGGTGCTGAGTCAAATATTCAAGACAACACTGTGGTTAATGTGCCGAAAACCAATGTGAGCAGCAGTATTGAGCCTACCATCATTGGCAACAGAGTCACTATCGGTAAGTCTATCATACAGAGGCTCATGTGCTAGTTATGCTTGCATGTAGCTGTGCACCGCCCATTAGTGTGACGTTATTCCTTAAGTCTGTTCTTATTATGAAGTGAAAGTACGTTTTTTCATTATTATTAATCTACGCTGCTATAGTTCTGAGCTGGACTTGACTGTTTGTAATCATACGCTTATCTCGTTGGGTGAGCTGGCTTGCAGGACACAATTCAGTGCTTCATGCGTGCACTGTAGAGGACGAGTCTTTTGTTGGCATGGGCTCCACCATTCTGGACGGAGCCGTCGTGGAGAAGGGCGCTATGGTGGCTGCTGGTTCTGTAGTCGCAGAAAAAACTCGCGTTCCTTCTGGCCAGGTCAGTTAAGCTCCTCTGACACCTCCTGACCTATTGTACTTTTAAAACTTATGCTTCAATAAATGACTTAGTGAAGGAATGACCTAGAATTCTACTTGTCAGAAGATGTTGAAGTCTTTGCAATTCTGTGTAACCTCGTGTATGTGGACCGGTTGATGATTTCAGATTTGGGCGGGTAGCCCTGCCAAATTTTTGAGGGATCTCACAGCCGAAGAGCGGTCATCCCTTACAGTAAATGCCAGTATTTATACAGATTTGGCGGAGGTTCATGCTTTTGAGAATCGGAAGACAGCTGGGGACATTGAGGCTGACAAGGCTCTGAGGAGGAAGTGGGAAATTCAGTCTGATGACTATGACTCTCACTTGGGTATTGTCCGCTCCAAGAAGCCGGACATTGCGTTTCCCAACAATATGATTTCAAAGGGTGCTCATTAACTCGTGTTAGTTTTCATTGTTTTATTTGTTCTCTCATTGAGTGGAAGTGTTTTGTGGTCATTAATAAAACTTGGACCCATACGTTAACCTCCTCGTTTATCGATGGTCTTGGCTTGATGGAGTTAGTTACTTTCAGGGCTTCACACTGTTCTATCTGTTTCTGAAGTGGTTTGTCCATCTTATCAAAGTTATCCAACTCATAAAAGTTATTTGCATATCAAATGAACGGGATTATGGGGTGCTCTTCAGCTCCTTATCAGTATGTATTTGATACTCAGGAATTTAGGAGAAAAGTCATTCACTGTCTTCTGTTAATTATTTTATTTCACTTGTTTTTCGTTTTGTTTTTTGAACTGGATGGATAAGGGTTAGTTAAGGTAGCGCAATAATAGTTGTATCGAATCTTAGTGTGCTGTGCATCGAAATCAATGCACACGCATTGATTTTATCAACACAAGCCAATTTGTATGCGATGGACGCAACAAAATTTGGCAGGAAAGAAATCAAATATCGTTTCAGGTGACATTTGAAGATTTTGGATGGAGTTTTGTACTTTATATCTTATTCTACAATGTTGTTTAAAAATACTGTTGTTACATTGTAATGTATTAGAATATAAATTAGTTTTCTATGTAGTATAAGAATATCTCTGGTACTTTATATTATACAATGATGGCTTACACTTGTGTCTACTTGTAAATAATACAATGATAACTACTGAGTACACTGAAGTTGAGTACATACATACATTCATATACACATACATATATCACTGATTTGTGAAGAAAAAGTTAATGTAAATCGTTATTGTGTATAGTTTGGACAGTCTGTGAAGCACACCATAGAAATCTTAGGCAAATAATGTACATTGAGTATACATGAACCCAAGAAAAGAGTTCAATATTGGAAAACACACATGAATATATGTTAACATTCCCGTCAGGTAAACATAGCAACTTAAAAGAAGAAAGCATTTCAGATATCACAGAGTAATTGAACAATTACATGTGTAATATGCAATGTTTATATGCGAAATTATATGTCAATGTTTAATCATATTAACAACAAATATATATTGTTTTACATTGCTTTAAAGTAACAACAATATGCTTATACTACATAGAAAACTAACTTATATTATAATACATTACATGGTATGTACTGTGTAGTATAATTTTATTATTATTAAACTCTGTGATACAATTACAAATGTAACATTCACTTATGCTTTTTTAGTCAGCAGTTTATAAATATTATGTTGTCTCATTATCATGTTTTAAGATATGATGTAGTTAATGTAAAATTAAAAATATACATGAAGAACATGGTAATCATGATGAATGTGGTTGGTTTTTAATGGTTGCAGACCGAATAATGGAGAAATGAATCTAGAAGTATTTTTTTATTTTTTTATTTTTTATTCTTTTCAGGATGGTTAGGATGGGTGGATCAATTTAGTAAAAACTTGGGTCTATTTAACATTCCCCTAAATAAAACTGTTATTATACAATTATTTATACATTGAATGATTATGAACATTTTATTTAATATTAATAGAGATATTATCTATTGCATACATAGATTTACTATTCTACATAGTAATAATAGCAAGTCAGGTATGAATACAATCCTAATGCATTTGGATGGTATAAATGTACGTAGATGCAAAGCGGATGTACATTCATCCTCGTCGTCAGATCTCTCTTGACAGAGTTGGAGGTCATGAGAACGGACCGTTCCGAGTGGATGAACGCTCGTTCATCCACGGGCAGGACGCGGATAGGTATTCCATGGGGTTAACTTCTAAACCCGTGAACAAGTAGGGGGGTTGACTATGTAAATCTTTTCCTTTAACGAACAAAAGTAGATGCGTACTTTTTGAGAACTTTATAAGGGGATAAGTCAACCGTGTTAGAGGTATGACTTATCCCCTTATAAAGTTCTCTAAAAGTAATTGGCCCCCGTGGTGGTTCCCCTACATCGACTTAGGCCTCGGGCACACATTGCGGACTGTACATCACGTATTCTTGGGCTCTGCAGTCTGTATCAAATGGGGCCACTGTTTGACACAGTTCCTGCATTTAGTCGGGGCTTGAATTGGTTACATCGGACACAGTTTCGATCATGAATCTCTTGCCTCGTTTCCGGTGTTCGCTTGATGCCCCCGCGGGGAAAGCGTCGATAGTACGTGGGGGAGATTGTAACAGTCCCGCATCTTGTGAGTAGATGCGGCGTTGCGCTGAGGGCGAGGGGTGTTCTGCTCCCGGTGGGTAGGGTAGTTGGAATTACTTCATGATATTAATGACTATTAGTCCATGGCATTAACGGTGATTAGTCCATGATATTAATGGTTTTCAGTCCACGGGTGTGGGGTCTATCATATGTGTTGCAGTGACGTTTTCTCCTGCCTTTTGTTTTCACAGGTTTGTGCACAGAAATGTCTCAAGCGGTGGATGGCGTTACTTCCTACCTACATGACTGTGATTATTCGAAACCGAGTAGTCAGCTGAATTTGCAGTTCGATTTGGGTATTGAACGAGGTTAAGTCTTCGCTGGAATGGATTCTATGATCTCGATGATGTTGGATTGTTTTGCGTGGCTACTTTTTAAGTGAGTTAGAAGTCAACTCTCACCGTTCGTTTAGGAGTTTACTATCTGAGCTTTTTTATCATTCCTTCTTTTTGTTACGTTTCAAAATTGCAGTTTCCAAGAATACAGCATGCTGCTTCGCGAACAATCCCACTAGGAAGTGCAGCATAATGCATACATAATCAGATGATCACACTGCAGGGGTTACAATTGAAATAGGAGGGATACCTCATGAATGTATGTAATGGCAATGAAACAGGGTTCTACGAAATGCAGCGATTGTCTGCGGCGTTTAACACTGATTTTAAGAGGAGATTTTTAGCACCTGGTGGGGGCGTAGGTTTACGCTAGCTTGATCACAAGGAAGGGTTTGCTCGTGTCAGGTATTACACGTGGTGCCTGCATCTGCGACAGGGAATTCCTAATCACGTGTATACATAGGGACTGTTGAAAGGACACAAACAATGGCCTGATGAAATGGTGATAAATGAACTGTTTTTTCATACGACATGATAGAGTTGACAATGACCACACTTCACCGGTTTCAGACCCGAGTAGAAAGGAAACGGGATTCTCAAATATCCATCGTGCAACATCACATCTCGGTTGCACCGCACAGTCCCAACTAGACCAGTTCGCACAAGGACTCATCCTATCATAGCTGGTCCACGAAGCGAAGTTTCGAGAAGCAAGCATAAAGATCCTGATCATACACCAACAAGGGTCATACAATCGCAACCTCGAGAAGAGGAAGAGATACAGAGAGCTGTACAGACTGTGAGGGAGAGCGCTGTATTCCCTCTTCTAGCAAAGGTCAAAAGAATACGAGTGCTCCCCTCACAGCCTGGACAGCTCTCCATATCGGTCCTCCCTGCATGCACCATCTCGTTGCCTCACCGCGAACCTGACTTCCATACGAAGTCCCCACCACAGCATAACTATCACCACCGCACCACCAGTCGAATAACCAATTCTACGGACTCTGGCAAATTATACTCCCTCCCACTCCTAAAATGCAATGCCCGCCGTCTTAAGTGAACTCGAAAAGCGCCGGCTCATCATGCTCCCATCCTCATCGCTAGATAGCTCCCCGCCGAGGCGCAGCAAGGCAGGGTAAACCTAAGAACCGCTTTCCGCGTTGATTACAACTACTCTCGGTTTGTCCTATCGTGCTTCGCGATGCCCAAACCCGGAGAAGAATAACCCGGCCAGTAAGGGATGTGAAGTGGCATAAAGGTGCAGTCCCCTAAGTGCCAAAGTCGAGATGCAGTCACCCTGATGCTAAAATTCCTTCACCAGGCCCTTCCTGATTTGACGAGGTTGAGAATGCCAACACTCCACTGGCCCCTAAAGTGGCGAGCACCAGGGAGGGGGAGCCAGCGAAGCGATTTTCTTCGCACATCAACTGTCGTAGAAGGCAGATGGACACAAAAGTTGACCTCAGTACCCATCAACTTGTGCCTTTCCGAAATCGTGATTGGCTAGTAAGTAGTATCAATTCATAATGAATCTCTACACCAACCTCATTCTTCAACCCTTCTCCTTCGCAAATTCTCCGGCGCGCAACTCTCCATCTCCTTGTGGAGATACAGGAGCCAGAAAGCGAGCAGGCCTTGGACTCCCAAGGGTCAAGCTGGAGTGGAGGATGAATGAATGCATGAATGTGCTCCATTCATCCACATGGTTGCGCCATGCATGCTTCGAGTGAGTGAGCTTGTTCAGAGGCTCCGCGTGGGGGCCAGTCTCATTCATTCATTCACTCACTCGCTCACACTCGGTAACTCCTCGCAGCCTCGCTATAGCACGGCAACCATCTCCGTGCTGGTCCTCCTCCTTTATCCGCGGAGAATGTAACGCCGCGGCCCCCATCTCCGCTGCCCAGGTCCTTTTTTTCCTCGTTTTAGGGCCCCGTGGTGAAAGCCCCCCCCCCCCCTTTCCCTGGCAAAATGCCTTCACCTTTCTTGTCCTTTCTTTCAAGTAAAATAATAAATTAGCAAATCATTCGTAAATATATTGGATTGATCTTGCATTTATGTTTTTATTTTGTTTTGTTTTCTATTTACAATCACTACTACTAGATTAAAAGAATTCTTGTTTTGTATGACAAATCTTGAAAATTTTGGATATGTACAAAATAAATAGACTACCAAAATTATACATATATATATATATATATATATATATATATTCAATTCCTCATTTGATATGCTAAAAATATTATTATTATTATTATTATTTTATTATTTTTATGTAATATTAAATAATGAATTTAAAGATGAGTATAGAAATTTGATTATGTTTAAGATCAATTGGTTTGATTTTAGGATCTCAAAATCTATGAATATTATGAATAAAATATTTAATTATTCTTTTTTGATAATTTATAATTTATGTCATTTTAATAGTTTGACATTTTAAAAAGAATTTTGTATTTAATTTTTTTATTATTAATTCAAATAATCCATGATTTTCTATCAATATTTTAAAAAATAAAAAATAAAAAACATT